GAGGGGAAAGAAAGAAGGGAGAAGGGGGGAGAGGGAGAGAGGAAAGGGGGGGGGAGGGGAGAGAGAGAGAGTGCCCTCACATGCTTTTTGCCCCTCAGTATATGCTCTGGATTTAATACTTCTGAATTTTTTCAGAAATCTTTAGTATTGTAACTTGCGATGCTGGCACACTGTGTCCCAAGCGCTCTATCTCCAAATGCCCTAACTTGTGGTTTTCCTGGTATTCATGAAGCTGCAGTCTCATGAAGAGCTGCTGAACTGATTTTTGTGGCTGTGCTAAAGTACTGTCCCACCTTTGAAAGTAAATGTAAATCCTGCCTCTGGCAGCATGTAATCAGGCAGAGGGCTCCAATGCCTTTAAAAGCATACCACCAATGGGACTGCTCTGGCATATTCATGTATGTGTTTGTGTGAATCCCCTGAAATGCTGCTGTAACCATATCCCATACCTGCAGGATCTTGCTGATATGCTGCCCTCAAATAAGGCTTTGGCTCACTGCTCACAGGTGATTAGGGAAATACCCATCAAATTCAGTGATACTCTCCTGTGCATTAGAAATCTGAGGACCAGGTATGAAGGCAAGGCAGACAGGCTCTAGATATATTATTGTGAGTCTTTCCACAAGATTGTGAAAAAGTTTGTGTCAAAATGCTACACTATTTTAAACTGTACGAAAGTGAGACTTCATTCCAGTGTTAGCTCACACACACATGCAATGTCTCCATTCCTTGCTTTGAAATAAGAGCTACACCTTTGGAGTCAGAAGTCAACAGTCCATGTTATTTCTATGGAACCAGATATCACAATCCATACACAGAACTGAGGCCGATCATCAAGAAGTTTGAGTGACCTGTCCTTCATCCATTCAGGAGAACGAAGTCTTCTCTGGCTCAGGTATCCTCGTCTCTGAACCTCAGCATGATGTCAGTTCCCAGAGAGTGCATGTTTCTTTTCACGCTGTAGGGTTGTGCCCTTGTCAAAATAAGGTGCATTCATAAAAAGTCTAAAGATAAATAAAGAACCTTGCGCCAGGTTTCCACCACAGGAAGTCTTTGCTCAGCTGAGATCATGAGGAGCAGACTGGGTAAGTGGCACATGTTTTCTCCACAGGCACAAGGGCGAGGAAGACAGTTAATGACACAGAGCAGTGCCTCATAGAGCACAACCTGAGGCACCCGGCAAAGGGGAGGCTACATCTGCTGTCTATCTAACAAATACTCGCTTCTTACTTCATGCTCTGTTCATTTTGTGTCACTTCCCAAACTGTGTTGGACAGCACTATGTATTTCCACTGAGGGAAAGGGGTAATTAGCCTGGGGAGGGAAGAAGCCTAGTGTGCCGGAAAAGAGCTGTGATGTGTGTCGCCAATACCAGTTTTAGCTCATCTGCAGAAAGGGAGAAGTGCTGCAATGAGAAAAATACATAGGAAAGGAAAAAACCCCACAGTATCGTAACTGATATTGGTGAGAGCGCTTGTGGTGTTTTGCGATCAGAGACCATGTGGCCCAACAGCCTTGTCCTTTGGCCTCGCTGCTCAGTGCTTTTTCCTGAAATCTTCCCATGCTGGTCATGTATTTTGTTTGTTACCCTGACATGTGGTCGTCCAATTCAACATTTCTTTGAATTTCTCCTCTTTTCCTCTCTCTTTTGCTCTCTGCAGCAAATAAAATTGCTGTGTCCTGGCTTTCGAGCGAGTACCTGTGCTAGCAGTTATTCAATCTTTAATTCTCTGTCTGTGCAACCACTGCCAATGATGGTGGCACTGAAAGCTAATACAGACGAGAGCTACAGGATACCTTCTAACCTGCTAATACTGGTGGCAGTTTGTAGCTGCAGTGTTCAGCAGCATAGAAATGCCTATATACACTAACATACATTGGACCTGAGTATACCAAGCGTAAGAAATTTTACTGTAAGCCATAATATAAAGACCTATCCACAAGGAGTGCTCTGCTTGTGCCTAAAGTGAAAGTTGTTATATCTCTTGCAAGAGGGATCACCTTCTGCTTAAGGACTGTGTTATCTTAATGCTGTGCATTGCTGTCATTTATACGAAGGGCCAGTCCTCCACTGAACTGTGATGAATGCCTGGCTTCGAATATACCTTGTAGCTGTGAGCATCAGAGTTTAATTGTAAAGTGTGAGGGTTTGTTACTTTTTACAAGTGCTGAATCTTTTGATTCATTATTTTTATACTGGGGAAAAACAAGGAATACGACTCGAGATCTGTCTATCCTCAGACTATAACATGCTGTTTTATAGCTGATAATTGTCTACAATAATGAAGAACAATTAAGATAACTTAAAAATGTATGGTTTATCCTGGTCAGTAATTAGATACAAGGATTAGGTTTTGCTGTAAAGCTCTATGGCTTTTTTTCTAATAAAGCTGAGCATTTAGATAAGCAAATAATTCTTACCATTTTAATTAACCACAGCTTATGTCTTGTTTATTTACCACTAGAGAAATGTATTATCTGCTAATACTACTACTTCCTTTTGGGAAGCTTAGATATGGCATTTGTAATACAATTCATTGTCTGTGTATCTTGCTGGTCACTGCAGCAATCAAAGCTATAGCACAGGCAGGACAATGACAAATGTAACATAGAGTGGAAGACAGACTGGGGAAAATCATGAAAGTCTTTCCACCTGCCAGCCCTAACTGGCATTTGTGGCAGATTAAAGTATTATATCATAGAAAAGGCCTTGTATGCTGCATTAGTGATGTTATTTATTGGACCTAAACAGCCTTTAAGAAGTACTTGCGACCTTGGAAATTTCAGCCCATTTAGTACCTCAGCTGGATTCAGAAATGGAAGGGACAGAAATGCAGTAAGAACTGTCATTTTTTGTTATCATTTAACTTGAATGGGTGGGTGATAGCGTCTTGATAGTGTGAAAAAATACACAGAAAAAATCCCTAGACTGTGGAAACAGCTTTGAAATCGCTGACAGAAGTTTGCAGCTGAATGCCAGCTTAGGTGCTCCATGAGAGTGCACGTCAGGCTCTTTCTGTGAGGAGCCATCTGTTTGTTCCTTTTTTATGCAGAACTGCAGAACTGGCATAATGGAATATGTGATTGACCCTTAAAGTGTACCTAGCAATAATCACACTGGCAGGAAAGAACGGACATCCTAATGGAAAAAAACTTTGAAATATTCCGCAGTGATCTCCTGTTTTGCTCTGTTCCCGTTGCTCCTCCCTTCTCTGACCCCAAATGTTCGTTCTAGGAGAAGGACGACTCACACAACAGAAAACTGTCTGAGGTGAATGCGGGCATGTATGGCATTATTTGTGACTGTATAAATGTGCGTCTTAAAAGTTTGTACACCGCTGGACCTTGCTTTAAAAGCAGAAAGGTCTTACAAGGTCAAAGCATTCAGAAAAAATGGGTGGGACATTGCTTTCTGTATCTGAGTACCAAAATGCATGCTAGCTGATAGAGAAGATGAAACTGATATTTGTATCACCTAACACAGATACCTCCTTGTTTCTCATAGCAGAGGTTTGGAGTTTTTTTAGAACTGGAGGATTTTACGCTCCTGTTAAATGCAGGAGTACTTCTTGGTGCCTCTCATCACCTAGCTAGGAAAGCTAGTGATAGCGACCCTGCTGTGGTATATAGGATGCAGACATTCAAAAGTTTCTTTCAACATCTCACCTTACAGACCCCAGAGGAAGTGGGGGGTGCTGTTCGTTTTGGATTAGCTGTATGGTGAGAGAAAGGGTGGGACTGATAGCTGCTAACTGCTGTTGGGTCTGAGCACTTTGCGAATAGCCTAGCCACTCCATCTCCCCTTCCAAAACTCTTGGTGTGAACTGTTCCCCTCCATGGTTCCAGGGGAAGAGAGTTGCTCTCTGAGGTTATGACCTTGCAGGGGTCAGTCCCATCCCATGAAGTGTCACTGAAGAGAACTGACAAACCTGGGAACTTGACCTTGCGTGTGATAGAGACAGGCTGTGGAGGCTATAATGATTTGGGTTCCTAACTAAATGGCAGGCCATCAGTGGAGGGTTAAATCCAAGCAGCGAGGAGTTCATTGTGGTACTTTTGCCTCTTCTTTAGCACCATCTGTGAGTTTACCTGCACTAAATTTATCATCAAACCATATGACTGTCATCTGGATGCTACTGTTCTCCAGAGAGTA